CATTCTTCGTACACTTTTCATATATTTTTCCAGCTTCTCTTATTGTTTTGTCAGTAATTTTATAGTATTTATTTCTGATTATGCAAGAGATAGTATTTCTTTCAGCATTACTTTCTCTAGAGTGTTGCATTAAATGAAATTGATTTTTATTCAATTTTCAGTTGCATTTCAGATGTAATACCACAGCCTTGTTGCGTCGTAATAAAATATTCCAATGAAAGCAGCCTGTCTTGTAAGCCCCCTTCGTCCCCTCCCACAGTATTCTAGCGTATTTTGTTGCCTCCATAAAAGTTGCATTACAAATAAGCGCGCGGGGGGCTGAGGCATGGGAAACGCGGCGCAACGTCTGGGTGATTTATTTATACGACTAACAGCTCTGCATTAACTTTGTGCGAAAGTTTGGTTAACAGTTAATCTGAAAATTGGCGTATCTGCACTATTTGCAGGCACAACGATGCATTTCCCTAACACTTGCCCAATTTGCAGCCTGATGGCATATCTTTTAATCGCACTAGCAACTGTTTACTTGTGCAAACAAGTGCTGAAAAGATTGCGTCAAGTGGGAAACTTTTGCCCAACTGAGAGTTGTAAGAGGTGTGGGAGTGTCTATTAGTATACACTCTAAACAACATGTGTTTACATTGAATTACGTCAATTATATTTCGATTGATATAAGCTGTAAACAATTTTAAAAGAGTTAAAGATTTAGGTTTTCTGATTTTAAATAAAATGTAATATAGGACTACAATGCACACGCTCTTTCTGTTTCTTAATGCTTCAACAATATTTCCTAATTCAAGAGATTACAAGTGATTGCCGGTTCGAATCCAGATAATACGAATCAAATCAATGATTGTTTCGTATACATATATTTTAATTTCTTTTTCAATTTACCTGAAGACCAATAAGGACTTTATTTTTTTATATTATATATATTATATTTAAAATTGATTAATTTGTCAAAATAAGATTTGAGTTGTTTTGAACCAATTGCCCATTTGTCACATTACTTTTGGTTATTTTGTAAATTATTAGTTAATAAGCAACAACAATTTAACACTGTGCACGAGGTGTGCACCAAGAGTCTATTAATGTATCCATATATAGAGTGCGGCCAGTTCAAGGCCAGCTGCAATCAAGCAATCAATCAACATGCAGCTCGCTGCACCGAGGCAAGGTTTGCCTTTAACCCTTTATCCAGCCCAACCGAACCGAACCGAACCCAATCTAGCCAAAGCAGGCAACCAATTCGCCCCAATCCTGCGAACAATGCATAATTACTGATAATGATTTGTGCATTGTTAACAACGTTCACGTCTATTGTTCTGGTTGGGGCCTTGTGAAGGGTCTGCTCTCTACGGAATGCGAATGGGTATAAGAATTGGGCTGGTTGGCCAACTCCTGCGGAATGGATTGGCTCGTCAGTGTGGCTTAGTTATGAGATGGGATTCAATGAATTTCAAGGAGTCGCCGTAAGAGGGCATATAAGACGTTGTTGTGTCTTTTTTTTTTAGTGCGGCTTTCAGCAGGCGTCGACGATAAAATAATAAAAATTGATTTGAGCGATGGCGATAAAATTTTACTACAGAACGCGTCATGCGAAATTTATCATTATCCACGAGCGCATCTTCATTTATAGCTACCCCCCCCCCCCCCCCCCCCCCCCCCCGGCGTTAAGGCAGGCGTTAAGGCAGCTACGATTTTCAATTAAACTCTTTCGATACACGCTTTTTCACACCTAGGCACAAGTTATTGCTTCTCACGTGAGGCTAACTAATTGAGTTGTGAAGTTGCAATTAGGCATTGGGCGTGGCAAAGATTTGTCGCAAAAATATGCTTTTAATTAATTATAAGGGTATCCAGGGCAGTCGGTGAGTATTTGTTTTCATTTGCATTTACTCTATTCGAGGTGAGTTGCCAAGTGCATGCAAATAAAATACTGCATTGATATTTTTGGGAGAAAAGTATGCGGTCACACTCAACGACATACAAATTGCAATGAGTTGCATTTCTTAATAAATATCGCGACCAAAATTTGCTGGTCAAATGCAAAGCGTAATTTAAACAGCTGATTATGAGAAATTCATCCAGATGAACATAATAATCTCTTTTATTATATTTTAATTATTAACATTGATTCAGTCAACAAAGCTAATGCACTTTAGAATTTACATATGTTAAATTAAGAGTGCAAGTAAAATATTTGCTCACCTTGTCGCATAACAAATGCAGCAATTGAAATTTACAGTTAATTTTACACAAACACTTTACACATAACTATGCACTCGCGTGTATGTGTGCATGTGTTTACATACATATGTATGTATGTACGTATAAATGGCAAGAGGCTGCGCACGTTCCGTCTTGCGCTTTGCATTTGAAACTTGACAATTGCACTTATTTAAACACGGTTATTACCATTATATATTTAATTCAATTACACACTTGGCACTTAACACAAATAAAAACAATAAAAAAAATACACACACACACACATACCTATGCTCGCACTGAACTGTAAAGCACAAACGGCGCTCCACGTTGTTTTGTGCATTTCATTGCAGCGAGATTATAAACAGCACATTATATTTATAGACGCGACGTTTTGCCCACTTACAGATCGGCCCGATATTTACACATATCCTTTGTTTATTATTGTTATTTGTAGCCGGCAAACTTAAAATTGAAACGTGCGAAAAATTATGACGCGTAGCTAGCTTACCGCTATTTTGAACTGACTTGATGTTGGCTGAGGTTGTGCAGAGATGCCAGCTGGTTTTTGAACCAGCGCTGCATAGCAAGCAGTTGGTTAGGGCACGCAGCATGCGCAGACAAAAGCTGAATGCTGCGAAAAGCGCCATCTATGTGCGCCGATAAACTGAAATGAATTTCGTTTTAAATAATTGAATATAAAGAACTAAAATTATTTGTTTTATTTAGGGCAGCAAGAAGAGTATTTCAATTTTGTTTTTAATACAGTGCGTTGTTGTTTTTATTTGTTTTTATATGTATTTTAAATATAGTTTTAATATATGCAGCTATAATAGTTATTTAAAATTTGAATACTACATTGTTTAATTTTAATTTTCTTTGATTTGTAAACTAAAAAACCTTTAAACTACGTTTTATTTATTTTTGTTGTGGTTGCTCCGGTTTTTGCTTTTCCATTTTCTCATCTTTTACCATTGCTCCGCTATGCTTCTCTCTTTCTCTCTTTCTCTCCCTTTCTCTCTCTCTCTCTCTCGTTCTCTCTCTCGCTCTCTCTTTCTATTTTTTCTGCCATTCTATTGTTTATCTAATCTAATGTGCTAGATACGTATATATATAGTTATTTATAGGGTATTTTGTCGTCTGGACAAAGTTAGTCATTAATTTACAATACATTTAATTATAGAATTAAACAATTTCCCAATCGCCGCTCGCTGCTCGAAAATTGTTGTGTTGATTAAATTTAAGAAAAAACTATATAATACAATAAGAGTCTTGGCATTAATGAATAATTGGTTTGTTAACAAAATAATTAAATTATTTTGCGCTGGTTTACAGTTTTGTCTCACACACATATACATAAATAAATTAAAGTACTTTCCCATTTTCTTTCTCTTCGTCTCTATTTTTTTTTTTTTTTTTTGTACTCAAAACTGCACGAGAAACGCACTCAAAACGCTAGCGATTTGGCAGCGTTTCTGAACGCCATAAGCCTTTCATAAGAAGCCCATGTCAAGGGCCGTGTAGAGCGCACGTATATCGCTGTGGGCCGAGATGCGCCAGAAGGGGAAGTTCATGGCCTTGGCAGCGGACTCCTCCTCGGCGCCATCGCCAATCACCACGTAGGTGCTTTTGCGTCCAAAACGCGTCACGATGCGCTCATAGCAGGTCTCCTGGCCTAAAAAGACAAATAAAATATGTTAGAGCAGGCGTTCCTTGGAGCACATTAAAGAAGGTTCGACTCACCAATCTTGTGGGCACTGTAGATGTTCTCGATGTTGAATATGCTGCCCAGGCCGAAGAGCAGCACCTTGGCCAGCGCCGGCGCCAGCTGCGTGGAGGTGACCAGCACATTGACGCAGTTCTCGCGCTGGGCAATCATGCTGAGACACTTGAGCGCCAAGGTGGCCCAATTATCGGTGGCCACCTCGATCTCCGAGCGTATCTGCAGCCAGGCATCGCGTTTGCCCGGTCCCAACAGGGTGCCCACGCTGAAAGAGACAGAATGCGAGAGTTAGAAAAAAGTGCCATACAAATAAATGGATGCAGGAGTCGAACTTCTGCCTTGGCTGAACGTGAGGTTTTGGCAATACTTATGAAAATTCTATAAGTGCAGCAATTAAAGGAAGCAATGGGAAAAACTGCATTCGATAATATGCTATAGGGTTCGAACTCCTGCCTCGCCTTTAAGAATAGTTCGGGAAGCTGCCGTTAGAAAATCCTGAGGTGAGACTTTTCGAATTTTCTTTCTTTAGCAGGCTAGGTTCATAGTAAAAACCAAAATTGAATATGAGGCACAATTAGAGAAAGCAGTGAGAAAAAATGTACTCGCTACTTTACTAAAGGGTTCAAACTCCTGCCTCGCCTTTAAGTTCGTAAATCTGGCTTTACGTATCCCGGAACTCATGCTCTGTATCCAAAATATATTGAATTCGAGGCACAATCAAAGAGAGCGGGGAAAATAGGAGTGCGAGCTCATTAAAAAATTATTCATAGCTACAATATGCCTTCATATTTAAAAAAGTCTGGAACATAATTGAAGAGGGACCTAAAAAAAACCATTCCCGGCGGCTCAAACCCCCATATCCTGCCTGAAGTACGCTTCCTGAACATCTCTGCACTTTGCTTTATGAATAACAAATTCACTGCACAGTAAAATAATGCGAGTTTTGTATAGGTTTGAACCGGCTTGCTTCAATCCCCGCTGGAAGGGAAGTACTTACTTGCCCCTGTAGCTGTTGTAGATGTCCTTGATCTTGCGATAGCGAAAGGCCAGCTTGCGCATCCAGTCAACGCCGCCGCGCACGCCCGTGGGCAGGCAGAGATTGGGCGGCGCGCCGGGCGGTGTGCCCGTATGGAAGCCATCGGTGGCAAAGTTATAGGTGCTCAGATCCTGGCCATTGTCGTCGGAGCTGACATCGTCGATGTGGACCTGATCGCACTCCTCGATCTCGTTGAAAAAGAAATGTGTGTCGGCCATGTTGAAGACCATCTCCTCCATGCGGAAAGCGATGGTCATGAGCGTGCTGTGGTCTTTGGTATAGCGATTGGCATAGCTGCCCGAGAGTAGCGTGTGAAAGATGATCAGCGTTTCGTCCAGGTCCCAGATGAAGACGCGCTCCGGCGGCTTCACCGCCTCGCTGTTGCCCGTATCCGAGGCGGTGCTGCGCGTCGGGCTCGGCTGCTGATGGCGGCGTCCGCGCGCTCGGCCCGTTTTGCCCGTGGGCGTCGACTTGGTCGCTGGCGCCGAGCTGGCCGTGCCCACGCTACTGCCGCCGCTCGAGTTGAGCGCCGCCGCAGCGGTGGCTGCATTGACCACGCCCACACCGACGCCGGCATTGGGCGACATTGAGATCGGGAGCGGGGAGTGCGGCGAGTGGGTGGCCGCATGCACAGGCGTTGTCGAGTGCGTATCCGTTGGGCTCTCGGACAGATTGGACGATGCCGTCGCCACATGAAAGCCATGGCTGGCACTCGAACTGGGCGAACTAACCGCATACGGCGAGTAATTGGCCGGGCTATAATAATTGCCATACTGCTCATTATAATAGCCGCCATAATCCTGCTGCCCAAAGTTATTATAGCCCGCATACGGATTGCTATAGAGCTGGGCATTATTGTTGCCGCCGACGCCTACGCCAACGCCAACGCCGCCGCCCCCACCGCCGCCGCCACCGCTCGTATAGCTGGGCGTTAGATATGCCGCTGCCGCCGCCGCGGCCGCTGCGCCCGGCTCCATTTTGGCGCTGCGCGCCGCTGCCGCCGCCGAGCTGGCCGCCGCATACGGCGTCCCGTAGCCGGAATAAAACGGCGGCGGCGTATACTGCTGCATGCTGTTGTAGTAGTAATAGTCGTGCTTGCTGTCATAGACAGCCGCCGCGGCAGCCGCTGCCGCCGAGCTGTTGACAGCCGCTGCGGCATCCGCACAGCCGTACAAATTAGCGCCGCTGGCAGCGGCAACGGCGGCAGCGGCTGCGGCGGCGCCATTGTCCAGGGCCGCGTGCACCTGGCCGGGACTGCGCGATTCCGATTTGACGGCGGCGGCAATGCTGCTGTCGTGCGTCCAGTGCGACATTGCGGCAGGATGACTTAGGCCCACGCCCACACCGATGCCAACGCCCACCTCGTCGCTGCTGGCCTGCTGATATGTGGAGAAGCTGCTGCCCGCCGATTGTGCAAAGCTTGACGCGGCTGCGGCCAGGCTGCAGCTGCTCGGATTTGGATTGTTGTTGTTATTGTTGTTGCTGCTGCTGCTGTTGGTGTTGTTGCTGCTGCTGCCGCTGCTGTTGTTGTTGCTGGTCGCGTAGTGGCCGCTCAGCGCACCAATTGTGGGCTGCAGCGGCTGAATTTGCGGCGGCAGTCCGCCCAGTGGACTGCATTGACCGGCCACGCCCACGCCAATGCCAACGCCCACGCTGGCGCCGGCACTGCTGGGCCCATTGCTGGTGGCCAACACGGCGCTTGAATGTGTTTGTTGCTGTTGTTGTTGCTGCTGTTGCTGCTGCTGTTGTTGTTGTTGTTGCTGCTGTTGCTGTTGTTGTTGTTGTTGTTGCTGCTGTTGTTGGCTTTGGCAGAGACTAAAAAGTAACGAGAAAAGGGAAGTTAGTTTAATTCTCTAGCTTATCAGTATATATCAGTGAAATCTAAGCTAAGCTAAGCTCAGCTTGCCTGACTGATTCCCTGACTAGCCAATTGATTGACTGAGTGATTGACCACCGAATAAGATAATTAATCTAAAGTTGATTAACTGATTTTCTGATTGACTGATCAATAATAGAAGCAAGCTTGCTTGACTGATTAACTGATACTGAGTGATTGTTTGACTAACTGATTGACTAAAGAATAAAAAGATGGTTTAACTCTCTAAATTATTGACTGTCTAATTGACTGACAAAGAATGACATAATTTATCTAAACTTGATTCACTGACAGGCTTATTGACTGACTAGATGTCTGTCTGACTGACTGTCTGATTGACTAAAAAATAAGATCAATAGAAGCTAAGTTTGCCTGACTGACTGAGTGATTGATTGATTGACTAAAGAATAAGAAAGATGGTTTAATCCATTCGATTATTGACTGACTGATTGACTGACCAAAGAATATGAAAGTAAGTTATATTCTCTAAATTATAATTTTAGATTAGTAAAAGTTAAGCTAAGCTTGACTGACTGATTGATTGATTGATGATCCCTCACAATTTACGTGCCATAAAACTCAAGAGCTCCACGTAGATTAAAGAGAAGAAAATCGACGAATAATGTTATGCTTTTTTGTATATCATTCGATCGACTTCAAATGCATTTTCACCTGTTTGAGGAGTAAAAGCTCCCATAACCGGACAGCTTATGCAACCTGAAAAATTTCCTCAGCTTTTATTAGTTACTGAAAACGACATTGGGTGTCCATCAAGGAGAGCTTTCACTGTATCTGTACATATATATTATCCAGTTTTGCCACAGTAGACAGCACCCCTTATATCGAATACTGCCACTTATGTCCGGAGAATATCCTTAACCCAACCACCGACTAGCCTCGCGGATTATAGAGACAGAGACAGAGAGAGAGAGAGAGAGAGAGAGAGGGAGAGCGAGAGAAGTCGAAACATAAACGTTTAGCTCGTTAAGTAAACTCATAAAATAATTTCCAATAATCTTTAAACAGCCATAAAATTAACGGCACGTTGTCGTCGTCGTCATCGTTTGCTTGGAACCGTCCAAAAAGTCAAGTGTGTCGCCTTCGCTCTCCAAAAATCTTGTCAAGTGTTATAAATATTTTTCTACGCTCTCTCGCGCTTCAAAAAAGAAAAAGGAAATCATTTGAAATGCCTTCTCGTAGCCACTTGAGAGGCAAATCATACAAAAAAAAAAAAAAAACCCATGCCCATTCCCTTTCCCAATGCCGTTCCATTGGCGGCATGTGCACACACACACACACACACACACACACAGACGAGCCATGTGTGCCACAAATGTTGCCTGTTTGGGCAGCGACAACATTTCGATTGTTATTCTTCAGGGCGGCTGCTGCTGCTTCCTCTTCTTCGACTACTTTAACTAGCAACAATTGCCAAACAAATTAAGCAGACTAATTTCGAAAGAGCCCAATAAAAACGAAACTCCAACTCGAATAGGCAAAGGCAAATAAATCAAACCGAACGAAAAATCGAAACAATGAAAAATGTAAAGTCATTTAAATAAAATCTCGAAGAGGCTGCCCAATTTTTAGAGTGCAGTCGAAGGAGCTGCAGTTGGAGCTGAAGCTGGAGCTGGTAATCCAATCCTTTTCGTCTGCAATTAAATTAAGTTGTTCGAACAGAGTCGCCTCCACGCCTACGTAGTACTCACCCCCCACTTCGTCCCCCTTCTGTGATTTCTGTGCGTAATTTATCACATTTTCATTTAGTTTATTCTCTTTAATCTACATGGAGCTCTTGAGCTTTATGGCACGTAAATTGTGTGGGAGCCGAGCACAAGGGTTCAGGTGAGACGTTTAAACACTTAAAACATATAATATTAATATATTATTAACAAAACAAATGATATTAAAGTCAACTACACTCAGAGAAAGACTAGTTGTTTAATTAAATTATAGACTAGACTGGAGGAGTCCATTCCAAGTTCTGTGCCAAAGGACAAATCCTTGTTTAAGGAGTTTACCCAACTGTATTTCAGTCTTCCATTTAAGAATTTCGAGCTTGAAAAGCTTCTTTAAATAGAAATTTACTTTTCTTTTTAAGAAATTTTAAGAATGACTTAACGTTTGTACTAAATCAAGGAAATTTCATGAAATAAGATCTTCAATTCGTCTTCAAATTTTCTCAAAGCAAAAACTGAATAAACGTAATTCAGACTTGCATTTAAGAACTTCGAAATTAAAAAGCTTATTGAAGTAAGAATTTCACTTTCAATTCTGATCGTTTGTACTTAATTTAAGCACACAAATTTGACTATTCGGAAGATATCTTAAAATGTTCTCTTTCTCACTGTTAAGCCCATTATAAAATATGCCACTTCGCGAGGAACAGATATTAGGTTTCATTAGAGTTGTTTTAGTTTAAAAATATTTTCTCTATATTCGGTAATTCCCTACAGTCCCCTTTTCAAGGCGAGAGTTGTTTTTCATTTTTTATGCTTTCCAATCAAATTTGTCGTAATTTATCATCGTTTTTTTTTCTTTTACAATGCCGTAGACCAGCTAGGTAAATGAAGTGCCCAATTTCCTTGGGAACTTGACACCAATAGAGTTGGGATATTTTTCATGTGCCAGAAAGGGGAATCAACTGGGAGCCAAACTGAGGGGGAGAAAACAACGCGTGCGCTCTGCTGCCAAACAAAATATTTTTCCAAAATATTATGTATTTAAAGATTTAAGTAGAAGCAAAAGAAAATGTGGTTAAGAGTTGTCACACACTTTGAACAAAGGGAGCTGCTGCATTTAATAGGCCCTAAACCTGCCTGCTAAGCCGCCCTAAGCCCCTTAAGTAGTTGGGCATGGCCCGCACGCCCTCTGCTCCGCACACCCTCTCCTCTCCTCTTCTCTACCACCATCTCATCTCCTCAACCAAGTGTTAAGTGCTCTGACACTCTCGTCGTTCTCGTATATATATTTATGCATATATGCGTGTGTATTTCTCAACTCAGGCAGGCATGCGAGAAATTCCTTGAATTCTTGCCCAGTTTTTGAACGGGGCATGTGTTGGAACCGAGATCCGAAAAATTGGTAGGGTCACAAATGCAAAATGCTCGCAAGCAATTGAAATTTGTCGCATTTGTGGACACTTGTTGTTGGGCGGCACAAGTGTGAAGAGAGCTCTTTGGAAATGCAGCGACAAGATGCAACATAACTGTCACAAATTATCTAGGCCGACAGCTGCAGCAAGTGTCCTTAGCATATGGATGACTAGCAGGTATTAGCCGGCATTGCACGGCACTTTTCGAATTTTGCGCCCAAAAGACGCCATTTTTTAATTGGGAAACTTTCTTAAATATTTTCTAACCAATATCAATTAATAATAATTACTATTTATTTGTTTATTCTTTCACATAGAACTTTAATGAGCTTGAAAGTTTTCGTCAAACATTTTCCCACATTTTCATTGGCAATTTTCCTAACATTCATTTATATTAGCAAAATTCAATAGAAAAACATGTTGATCATCAGTCAGTCAATCAATCAATCAATCAGTCGGGCACAAACCATTTTGTTTACAGCTAAAACTTACCGATTGCGTTCATGGGTATCCGTGTGCTCTGTTTTGGGACGTTTAACCTGCAAAAAACCAACAAAAAAAATAAGCATTGAGAGAGGGGAAAATGCAAATAATTAAATAAAAATGTATATACAAATGCAGAGGGATGTCTGTACTTGGGTATTATATAAAAGTCTAGAGCATTTTGCTGTTGTTTATAAACAAAAACGTTGTCTCTGGCGTCGTCCCAACACCTCAGCGGGTTCTGGCGCAGTCGCTGGGTTCCGCTGAGGTTGACGGTTTTTTTTCGATCGAAACTTTATTTGGCTTTAGTGCGGCAACAAAAAAAAACAACAGAAATAATAAAAATAAAACAAAAAAAATATATAAATGAATAAAAAACAGCACATTTTACATAATTTGCAAGCAGCATTCGCATTGCCAGCAAATTTAACGTGCGTGGGAAAATTTTTACTGGGTTGATGATGGGTTGACGGGGCTTTCAATAGCGGCGCCATTGCCCAATTGGGGGCCATGTGACGAATGGCCAACAAATTGCCTCTGAGGGTGTGCACAGCAGGTGGCCCAAATCGTAGGGAGCTGGGCATCGGGCCATCGAGAAGCTAACGATAGAAGCGGCAGAAGCCAAGCCAAGCTGATGAAGGAAAGTCCACTTAATTGAGACAGGCCCAAGATGGGCACAGGAATAATATTAGGCCAGAGGTTGATGCGAATTGACAATACAAACTCAGGCAGAAGTTGTATGCAACTAAACTTGGCACAGTATTTAAATGAAAGACCTAAACAGAGTTCTAAGAAAGAAGCCAAAGATCCTTAGAAAGGCAAACAAATCAATTGAGCTAGGGAAATGAAGTAGTTGAAAGGAGACAAGGAAAAGGTAAATTCAAAAGAATAGTTAAGAAGAAAATAAGTTAATAAGAGACCAGAGCTTTTACTGACAACTACAAAATAAGGAAAAGAAAACTCAAAAAGCTAATTTCCTCAGCTAAATTAAAGTATTACAAAAATCATTTTAATAATATCTTTAGCTTAATTCTCGCTTTTATGAAATAACGACTTCCGCTTTCTGAAAATGTAGAAACTACGAAAAGAAACAACAACAACATGTACAAAGTAAACCTTTAGGAGAAATTTTAATTATTCAAACCCAGCTAACGCTAATCTTATAAATCTTAGAAAAGATAGTTAAATAATTTCCATGAACAGATCCAAGTTATAAAAAGAGAATTGGATAAATAAAAGAGCTTAAAACAGTGCTAGAGACAGAACCAAAGCTTGATTCTTGGAAAGTGCTAAGACCAAGGATAATAAATTCGAAAAGAAGAGAGAAATCTCCAAGAAAGAAAAGCTTTTAAACCAAAAATAAAACTATATCAAAAATATTTGATAACAAAAATATAATATAATATAATATAAAACCTTAATGCTTCATTAATGAAGAAAAGCTTTTTGTAGCAATTGGGACTAGAGAAAAATCCCAAGCAACTAAATGTTTTAAACAAATATCACGAAAAACAATCCCAGAAGCAGAAAATGAAAGCAAAAGGGCTTGAAGACGATGCAAAGGAAACGAGGAAAGCTTTTTAGCATGAATTAAATCCAGGCTACAAGGAAAAATGAGAGAGTAGAGATCAGAGAGTAGAGACCCAGGAATTTCATAGGAAATCCCAGACACGAGCACTGCAATCGATTTGTTCCATCGAAGGAAGCTATTAAGGCAATAAAAAACGGAAGCCGGATGAGGGGCATCCTGCATTGGTGATTGGCAACCTACAGCAGGCCAAAAGGCTGCTGGAATTTTTGGCGAGCACACGACTTTGATGGGGCATTCGTGAGCCGCTACTTTTTTGATTTTTTTTCTCTTTTTGGGGCACAGCACCCAGGGGCCACACACACGCACGCTGTGTCCATCATATTTTTAAGTTTGTTTACTTTTTTTTGTATTCTTGCCAAAATTTGTTTTCAACGGACTTTCAACGGTAGCGTTTAATGACGCGATGCTGCGGCACAGCTGCAGTTGGGAAGTTGTCGTTTTGTGGGGGGCTTGCGTGTTGCACGATGTTTGTTGCTGCCCCAAACTGAAACCGAGACACGAATGCAAAACGAATGCAACGCAACCTTTTACTAAACTAATTTATGGCACAAGCTGACAACGTAAACATTAACACAGAGACAAGGAGGCGATGCCGGACAGGCAGCGCCTGCTCATCAGAGCGAGCGAGAGAGAGAGGGAGATTCTTTATAAAGACCTGTTTTGAGCATCTTTAACGAAATTCCTGTGATCGTAATCTTTTGTCTCTCTGCTGCTTTAGAAGAAGATTAAAACAGACAAGCCACACACACACACACACACTTGCACACACACATACACACACAGAGAGAGAAGACAGCGAAGACGGCGACAAATTTTTTATTAACTTGCCCGCCTGCTACGCTCGCTCGGACCACGGTCTGTGGCTGGACCCTACTAAGCCCCTAACCGATAAACATCGAAATAAACAACAAAAATTTGTAGCTCCCTCGCGTTGTTGTCATTTGTATTTGGCTATACCCTGTATTAATTGACAAGTTGTAAGAACAGGGTAGCATGGTTTTCAGCAAGTGCTTGTAACAGGCAGAAATAGATATCTCAGAGAACTCAAGCTTGTCGCATGCAATAGCAAGAGCAAAAATTGTATTCGATTACATTATCGATAAATATCGCTTTTAAATAGCTCATTTCTCCGCAACCTAACATTAACATTTGTCAAGCAGATAGATAAACTTCGAATGTCTTTTGAAAAACATACCTAAAAAATGTAACCCACCCTTTCCCTTTCCCATTGATGGTTTTTGGTATATGCACATATTTGAATGCCATTTTTTATCCCTGAAAAATCAGTCTATTTGTCCACGACTTGTCTAAGAATAACATTTTTATCTTGCGAGCCTTAGCGAAACTTCGAGCACAGCTGCTGTGTAGGGTAGCCGCTAGTCGGGCAGTCGCGTTTTACAGCGCCTCTGGCATGTTTTTATTGTTATTGTTGTTGTTATTGTTGCCGTCTTTTGTTGACTGGGGGCCACGACCTATGCGCCTTAACACTTTGGCACGTTAATTACGTGGGACAATCGACAATCGCCAAGTGTCAATCGCTGCGGCCATAATCAATATTTTGACTGCTTGCTCAGTGGCTCAGACGGATGGCACAAGTTGCTGGACTGGGCTAAGGGGCATGGTGATGGGGTAGGGGGCAGGCTACGTATGGCTACGAATCTTTCTTTCTTTCTTTAGCTGGTGGCACATAAATTACATGCAGCGCATTGTCGCAGTTGAATTATGGCGTGTTAATTTTTACGATTACGGCTTAAACTTAATTAAAATGTGATTAATGTCGCCAAACACGTTTGGCCTTTTTTTGTGGGCCAGGCTCCTTAAATTGTCATAAACCTGGCCCAGTCTTTGGCAACAACAAAAAAAAGGGACCAGTTCCACTGCCTTCACAGCATCAACTGGTCGATTGCTCGAACTGTGCTTAGCAGCCCTCAACTCCCTCAACGCCGTAATTTATGCTCTATTAATATTTCGCCTTAAAATCGTTTGCACACGCCGCATGCCCCATGCCATCATCATTGGCCGGCGGTTCGTGACGCTTCGACAAAATTCTTAAGCCCAATGTTTCGCCTGCGTATGCCCGACTTTGTTTTAGCCAAGTGCAGAGTCCCCCATAAAAGTAGTCGCTTTTTGTAGTCTTTGGCTTCATTAAATCAGGCTACAAGTCGCAGCCTTAAGTGCAGCTTAATGGGCAGACTTGAGGCTTATTAACTATATCATAGAAGAGGAGTCTGTCTTTCAAGAGGTCTAGATTTAAGATTTTAATTTGGGTAATTTCTTGAAGTTGATTTAGTTTTTGGCACAAATTGCTTAATTTAACCGAATTTTCAAATGCTGGATAGATTATTTTTCTTTGTTTTAGAGAATTGCCTTGGCAAGATTTTATTGTTATTAAAAGTATGAAACACAGATACATATAAAGCTATCAATTAGCTGTGCACTCACTTTAATGGCGTTAGATTAAGAGAGTGCATACCTTAAGCTGAGCTTCGAGCTCTAAGAGAGATGACTGAATTATTGAGATCATACATATGTCGCTGACATTTCGGGTATTACTGCCTATTAGAGACTTTCTTTCACTTTCCTAACGGACACTCCTATGCCTTCCTCTCTCCAATCATTATGATTTATGCTATATTCATATCCTCCCTAAATGGGGTACAATCGTCAAAAATACCACGATATTCCTCCTTCGCGCCGACAAATATGAATCAGACAATGCCCATATATGTATCCTGCTAAAGGGCGTACACTTGTCCTGAGCGTTAAAAAAGGATCTGTGGGTCGTGTTCTCCCAATATAGTTTCCACTGCAAATTCTTATACTAACCGGAGTTTTAAAACGCCACAACTTTTCCTATTAAGTTGTTTACAAGAAAAGTTCCAGGACATTTACATTCATCAAATAGAAGAATTTAACATAAAGATTATTATATTAATATGAGGAAGATAGCCTTCTTCATACTCCCGTTAAAAATGTGCTCTTGCACGGAAATGTGCTCTTGCACGGAAGCTCATATCATTTTACTAAAGTATCTTTAGGTTAAGAGGAACATCCTCAACTAAGCCAACTTTACAAAGAGTTTGTCAAACTGTCTCCAAATCTCGAGAAGCCACACAAACAAACCGCAGCGACAACAACAAAAACAACAACAACAATGTTAACCGACGGCAAAGCCGCAGACGGGGCAAAACTTGAAGATTTGTAGAGCTGAGTTTGTGTAGAAACTAACCGTAAGCCGCGTCACTTTTAAAGCTTCGCTTGGATTGCGATTGATTTGGTTATAAGTACTAGAATGCACTTGGATTAATAATAGGTTATATTATTTTTTACCTTTGGTTCGATCATTTTATCAATTAACCCGCAGCGCGGCGCTGCGTAGTTATATGGCATTAGGGTGACCATTTTTTGCGAGGATTTTATCAACTATTTAACAAGTGGAAGCCGTTTTTTTTTTTTATTTTTTATGCTAGTCTGTTTTGAAATTTAATTCGTTGTCATTTGATAAGCGTTGTATCACACACACACACATAGACACAGGCACAGCCACAGACACAGACACGCACGACGTTTTCTATATATGTATATGTATATTCTTGCGCTTGGCGTGCCTTGTTGCGTCCGCCTTGAGTAGCTCGAGTGAACTGAACTCTGCGGCTCGGCGGCGAGTCGAGTGAACCGTTTTCGGGTTTTTTTCGATTCTGAGTGAAAATCTCGGCATTGGGTGAGAGCGCACGACGACGCGTCGAAACGAGTTTGTGAGCGTGCGAGCGGTTCGGCATGCGACGGCAGCGCCGACGAGGGCGAGACAGCATTACTTGTCTGCCATCTCGCTCGCTCGCCGCAATGGTGCGCCTTGGCCCCGCCCATTCAAACGGGGTGGTTTGGCCCGACGCCGTTTCGTTCATCTATCTATTTATTTCTATTAAATTTTTGTTGTTTGCAAGCCGCCCAAAAAAAAAAATAAACAATAGAAAAAATAAAACCAAATAAAAGCAAATGCAAATGTCAATCAAATATTTTGGACAGCACATAAATTATTAATGCGCCTCAATTAATTAATAATTTAAATTATTGCCGCTCATTAAACAAATTAATCAAATTTAAAGACATTCATATTCATTTTGCTTTTAAAAATTTAATTAGCGAAACTCAAAACTCTGACCGGGTTTTAAATTTGTACTGCATTATATATAGATCCGACAAACATATCTGTTTTTTATTTTTACTGCAAAATATAATATCTTGAAATATGGTACCATAAACAAGTGATAAGCGTAATCGGAGCAAAGCGTGTTGTATATCTCCTTCTTAAATGTTTATAGACCGCGTAAGCAATAGAAATCTACATCTAAATTACACTGTTTATTTGATGAATCAGTTCAAGCACTTAATTACGGGTGCTTAAGTATTCCACTATATATAAATTTGAAATTTGTAAATCAATCGGACACACCATGCCAATTAATTTATACATGCAGTATAAACTCGTTTGTTTTGGCAATTGGAAACCTAATTACAATGATAAAGGCAAATTTGGAGAATTATTAAGAACCCTACAGACTGATGCGTGTATTATTTCAATTTCATTCGATACATTTGCTTTATTTAAAAATCACTACAAATAGTTTGCAATGAGTTAGCCTGGTTATACATTAGACAAAACCCCAACAAATATTTAGCTTATTATATTTTATAATTTATATATATTATATACATTTATTTGATATTTACATTTTCCAAATTTGTTGAGGTTTTGTCTATTATATTAAGTTTATATTCTAATAATGTATCAATGAGAATGCAGAACCTCGAGTGTTCCTTTTTATTTGATGCGCTCCATATGCTTTGCTTAAATCTCAGCTATTGTTTTTGGGCAATTTTTTGTATTTCTTTAGTTTTAACTAAGTAAATCTATATATATTTGCGCTTTTTACTAAGAAATTCTAGCAACGGTTCTCTTTGGAAGCCAATTAAAAAACCTCATCCAAAAATGTTGTAAATTCGTATTACTACTATGGATATTAATATTATTACTAATATTATTATTATTAATATTATATAACAGAAAAGACCTTGCGTAGTCTAGAAAAGTGTAAAATCTACGTCAAATAGAGTATAGACAAAATTTCTGTTAAGATTTTGTTGTTAAATTAACATTACCTATAAATGAAAAAACACTTAACAAGTTTATAGCACAAACTTCCAATGTAATAGTAGTTTTTGTTATTTGTTTATTTTGTACAATATTGAGTATATATATCATAATTCCAATAAATTGCACAGGTGTTGTAATTGCAAACGCTCTTTTCCCTTAAATGAAATTCCCTTGGCTATTTGTATATTTTTTCTATATTTTTGCAATCTGTTTGGAACAACTCATGGCAAGTACTTTTAAAACCAAACAGTCATAACCATTTTGTAAACCATTTTATTTATTTAACGCTTAATTTTGTGAAAACGTCTAAATAAACTTTCGAGTCTTGGCTCTGTCTTATCGACCATATGGAATTACACGTAAACAAAGCAGGCTCATAAAAATAACAACAACAACAATAACACGAGACAATAAATAAAATCAGAGAACACACACTGACCAATCGATTCATATGCCCTGGAATTCTTACTAATAAACCCCCTACCCCCCACACACACACGCACACACACACACAGAACGCACACGCACACACAGATACACACACACACACACACACACACACACACACACACACAAGTGCACTTTCAGACGCCAGTTGCCACCTGCCAAAACAAAAAACATCGCAACCAAATAGGGAAACGGGGTGCAGAGTGTGTGTGTCTGTGCGGTGGGAGTGTATGGGTGTGTGTGTAAATTGCCTATAAAGTAATTTAATCGGCACAAAAATGACTATTTCTTGCGTAATTATTGATTATTTTAAGGTCAACATTGAACACAATTTTGATAAAATTCCTGACAACACGAATGAAGAAAATAACTTTTTTATTATTATTAGAACTAGGTTGAAAGTTCAAAGATTAAATTGTGTTCTTCGTCGCGAGGCATGCAAAATTGTGTTTGAAATTAGGGCAGATATTTTATATATTTTAAACATTCTAATTTATATATAAATATAAAAATAATAATAGTATTTGTATAAGATATCATAGAACTCTTGCTACGGACTTCGTAATAATTTATATAGATTTAAAATTATACAAATAGTACATTTCGTAAATTTCTTAGGGATGCCACGATTTTGAGTTCAAATTGAGCAGCATTATATGAAATATGAATTACTGGGGAAAATGTGTTCTACGACAAACATAGTTACATGTTTTATCTAAATTATGGTTTTGTCATGCATGACAGTAAAACATAACATATATATATATTCCACGTCGATTTTAACACCTTAGCCTTTATAGCTAAGTCCGTCCGTCTGTTTCGTTATATTCAAATTGTTCTCTACGTTCTAAAGCTAGCCGGATGAAACTCTTCATAGATCCGACCTTTTGTTTCAGATAGGAGATATTGCTGTCATAGAAACTATCTTGAGGTTTTGTGTGAAATTATGAAAACCCAGCTTTTCTTTACATGATATTTACTAGCTGCTTTAATCGAAACCCTTTTTACTAACTATTTATTTTTATTGTGCATTAAATAGTCTTGAGATTATAAATACAGTTCAGCTATTTATATCCATTTATATTATAAGCATTTATACATGGCAGCTAGTGTAATGGATTTTTGAATGAATTGCGTTTGCTTGTCTGGCATATTTCGTAATTTATTCAGTGTTTAAATGTTTATGGCTAAAATAGCGAACTTTACACTTAATGTGCAGACATGTTGAATTCCACAAGCTCCTTCTATTTTATATACTTATTTTTGTGGTTTGTGCAATTTGTATTGTGAAGCACATGCCTCAGCGGTTTTTTCTCTGAAATTAGCATAGAATAGTCTATCGAGTCTGTGAATCGAGTCGGGGCGAGTCGAGTCGAGTGGAGTGGAGTGGACTGGAGGGGATTGGCTCGTGTGGCACGATAGCAATATCAGCTTGAAGAAATGCCTTTGCGGGACTGCGAATCAGACCTTTGGCATGCGCTGACAGCGACATTTGAAGAACCCCTCGCCAGCCAAGCCAAGCCAAGCCGAAATCGGGGTATCAGCAAAATAAGACTTGACCCAATTGTAGGCCAAACTTGGGCTGCATGACGCATCGCGAATGTGGTATACGGCAAATGTTGGCCGCTTCCTGAGTGTCGAGCTTACAAGACAAGCAACAACAGGCGACAAATGACAACAAACAACAGCAACAACAACAACAATTGTGTGTTGTCTGCCTGAGTCGAGAGACCTTATCTAGATGCTGAGCCAAGCCAAACTTCAGATCAAGTTGTAAAAATGCGCGCGATTATCGTTGAACACGCCATGAGTGCGAGTTAACGAGCGAGAGAGAGACGGAGAGACAGGGAGAGAGTGAGAGATATATGAGAGCGAGAGGTCGTTGCAGAGTGTGGGCACCTCAGGTGTTGAACCTGGATCGCAGCAAAATGGCGCCCAATCCTGGCTAGCTGGGGCCCAGTTTGTGGTGCACCTCTTGTGGCGGCTGCATTAAATTAATTCAGCACCGGGGAGGTCCAGCCCGATCAAAACTGAACGTAAATCTTAAACACTTTGTGCTGCCAGCCTGCCTGCCTGCCTGCCTCGAGCGCACGATCAGCACGTTCACAACGGACGACGGACGACCGGTCCGCGACTCCAGCCCCAGTCGCAGCTCCAAACAAATGTGCGAGTCTCAGCAACATGCAAGAGGCAACCGGCTCCAGCTTCACAACAAAAAAAAATAATTATAATCTGCAAATGCAGCGAAATTGTGCGCAGATTTGTTTACAGACAGTGCCAAAGCACTTGGAATGGGCAAATGGCAGCATAACAGGCAGGATGCGGGGGTTCGAGCCCCGCACTGGGCTGATGATCGCGCGTAGATATAATTGACGACATGTTGTCTCACGATCGTGCTAAACCGATTAAGGCATATTTAATGCCCCAACCGAGCCCAAGTCGCAGTTTCTGCAGCATTTTAGCAGCGTCAGCAGCAGCAGCAGCAGAGTCCACGGGTCAACGTTGGGTTAAAAGTGCGCTCCGAAGTGTGTAATGCACTTCCGCCAAACAAATCGCGGAATTGTTTGCACAATTTCACATGGAAATCGCATTTGTTAACTGCCATTGCCCAATTGGCCTGGCCAATATTGTGAGCGTTTTTCATGCCAAAAACCGAAACACAAATATATATGCATACATCTGTTTGGGTATATATATGCATATATCATTTATTAAGAAAATTCGTTTAAAAATATCCATGGTTATTTCCTTTCCAGAAATATATATATATGCAAGTAATGGAAATAATTATGGAACAGAATTTGTTGCCAAAATAAATACCTTAATCATTTTATAAGAGATTTGCGTTTAGCCAGAAAATTGTTTATTTTTATATAAGGGCACAATATTCGACCGATTGTTTCTCTAGAAACTCTGCTAATGTGTGAAAAGCAAAAGTGA